TCACCWTCACCATCATTATCAGCATCATCATCAGTATCGCCATCATCACCACCATCGTGCCACCTTCACCATCACCATCACCATTGCTATCAGCATCATCATCATTACTATCATGGATCATCAACAACAGTCAATTATGACCATCAACATCAAATTTTGAGTGGCTATATTACAGCCTGTATGAGGTACTTAAAATATTAATTTCTACCTGCAGGACAAGCGATAAACAACCACTATAATGATAACAATGCAGACGGAAGCCCCTATAGTGACTCCAACAATCATTTTATAGTTGGCACCAGAAAGTTTTGTCATTGTTGAATCAGGTTGCCCTGGAAACACAAAGTTAATTTTAATTAAATTTTAATTAATTTAAAGTTAATTAATTAATTAATTTTAAGCTTTTCATTGTTGCAAATTGTTGTCAGTGAATTGTGGTGATGCCAAGGCATTGCGAAGAAATGAAAGAAATCTAAAAGYGAAAACTATGATCAGACAATGTCTCTTTTTTTGTTTTAATATGTAATGAAAATAAAGCTGCATTCTCGATTTAAAATAAAACTTACAGCTTTTTCTGTGATATAATATTCAGTAAAGCATGCAGTAAGAGATGAACGCACAAAAGAAATATGAAGAGAGACACCTGCCCTGGAGCTGTACATATTTGTTTTGAAATGCTTGTCAGCACTTCCTGCAAGAAGCATAAAAGAAAAGCTTACACTTCTTTGCAAAGCAGGCTGCATGCGCACTATGCTCCATTCACTAATACAGCAAAAGTGTTGGCCAATCAGAGCATCTGTAGTTAGGTGAGTGAATAATGATCAGCAATACAGTACTATACTATGGCAGTGATATTAAAACACCAAAGAAGTTTGACCTATCACTAATTTACTGCTATTTTTCATAAACATGCAAACTCTGTGTCTGCGAGCTGCACGCAGAAATTTGGTTTTTCGCTGCCCCCAATTAAAAATATGAAAAGGTACCGACTGATTAGATTTGATTGACAGCAGCGAAAAACCATATCTCAGTGTACAGCTCACAGACACAGAGTTAGCATATTTATGAAAATTGCAGTAATACTACGCCTACACTCTTTTTTTCATTTTTCACTTCCTTCACCATTTCGTTAAAAAATTTTTTTTCAGCACCAGGGGTTAAAATAATGGGCAATCACTCACCAGTCATGATGACAAGCCAAATTAGTTTCAAAGTTAGTCATACCTCATGTCTGGCTTATAACTTTACTGGTCAAAATGACTGGCAAGGCTAAGATATGACTGGACAAGCCCCAGTTCTGGTCGGACATTGTCTGATGTCCAGCCATTATTTTAAGCCCTGAGCACTTGACTAAAGCATAATATGTACCATTAATGTAACAGGTTTCGCTAATCCCACTGCATGATCCATGCTTGTTACAAACTTTAGAATATATCTGGATGGTTTTATGTGGCTTAGGAATAGTCAAATTGATATTAGTTTGACTTGCATTCACAATCACAGTGCTTTTGTTGATGGGTCCTGAAGTAGCATAAAAGATCCTATAATTCGCAAGTTGACCATTTTGATGCTTTTTGGATGGAGGCTGCAACAAGTTAATTAATCATCTATTTATYGATTTCATCTAATATGCACCAACCCACCCGACCCATCCATCCATTTCCTCCTCCCTTCCTAAAACTCTCTATCTCTCGACACCTATAAGTTCAAACGTCTCCCACGTTCCCTCCATTCATCTGTCTGTCTATTCATTCATCAATTCATCAATTCATCTATCTCTCTCCTTGCTATCCATTCATTCCATCCCGATCAATAAAACTTTTAGTTGATAAGAAGATATAACTAGCTAAAAACTAGTGTGAGCTGCGTCGGTGTTTCTAATGAAACAGTGATGATAAAGAGGTAAATTATACACCGTGAAAAGATGAAAAACTTTCTGACGTTTCGGACACTAGTCCTTCATTGGAGTAAAAGTTTAGTTGATAAATGAAAGTACAGTACCTTCCAAGAAACCAATACAGTACTGACGTTAGTCAATTTATCTTTCATCAACTCCAAACAAGTCATATCCTGTGGAGGCTCACTAGGGGCTAGAAAGGTAGGAAAAAGCCATAATTATTATATTGAAGAAATTATTATAATGAAGAATGCGCCCGCGTGCTGTGTGCTGTCATTAAGCATGCAGGGGTTGGCAGAACACGAGAAGTGTTAGGAGAAGCATGACATGTAGCAGAATTATTATTATTACTATTATACTAATAATAATAATACTAATAATTATACTAATAATAATGATAATAACGATGATAATAATAATGACAATGATAATAATAATAATTATTATTATTATTACTGCTACTAGGATATTGATATCTTATTTCTACTTACCTGCATCTTTGGTGTGTAAGCAGATAACTGCTGGTGTACTTAATGGACTGGATATATTTCCCGATCTGAATTGTTTTTTGACATTAAAACAGTACTTTGAATAAGGATTCAAATTGTTGATAACAGCTGTGGTATCCTTATCAGTCTGATCTTTTAGATATGTCTATTGAAATTGAAATTTGATCATTGTTAGAAGGGGTAATAGATTGAATAGATATACAGTCAATGTCRTTAACGTTGTCCACCAAAAAAAAACATTTACAAATTTAGACTAAAAGATATATCACGTGTTTCATTATGTATTCTTTGCCTTGTGTGCGTCATCCTGAACTTTAAATGTAAAATTCAACTCGTGAATCGAAAATCCAGAATGCCCCGACCATTTAGTGAGGATTTAAGATGGAGAATGGTATTTCAGCATTTGTTTTATGCCAGAACCTTCGAGGAAACACATGATATTTCTTTTAGTCTAAATGTGTAAATGT